GGGTGTCTCGTGGTCTCGAGTGGGGAGTAAAAATCATGGCCAGGGTCATGATGTTTGCCCGTTTCTCACTGCCACCTCAATCTATTTCAGCACAATTTTTGGCCTCCCCAAAGCCGCACACGTGCCTCGGGTCATGATTTGCGAGCTCCTCTCTCGGGACTCTCCCGACCGCGCCTCGCCGCCCGAAATCCTTCAGACCCGGGCGTCGCGAGCACATCGCAACGGCCGTCTTTCCCATGCCCTCAGCCTCCAGAGGCCGTTTACAGGCCATGGGGCAGCAAGAAAAGCGACCCAGGATGAAAGGAGTTGGTCCCGGGGAAGAGGTCGAGACTCCGAGGGGCCCGTGCCGCGGCACAAAACAAATGCGTCTGCGGAGACGAGGGATATCGCAGGCGGCTCTTCGCCCCCAGTTCCTGGATTTCTCTTCCCCGAACCCTTGTATCCACTCCCAAAAAGGGGACGATAGGGGATGCACAGCCTTCAGAGGAGAAACAGGTATCCATACCTCTACACGTCGTTCATTTCCAATCGTGCTCATTTCTAATTGTGCTCGTTTCAAACTGTTCCTGGCCCCTAGTGGCCAGGAAGAGGCCCAGGATAGAACAATTAGAAATGAAAGGATCTTGGCCCCACAAAAAATCAAAGACCTTTCGAATCCATAGAAATGAACAATGTGTACCCTTCCCTCGCTTTCCCCTGTTCGGGCCTCGAGGGAGGCCCTCGTCGCCACCGCCTGATTCGCGTCGGAGTTCTGGTCAGAGCGCACCCCGGGAGAGGTCTGGGGAGTATAGCGGTATCGGTACCTTTGGGTACTCCCAAACCTGGGGGGCTAGATCTTGACGCGCCCCTTGTTGAGAGGCTGTGCGCGGCCCCACCGCGCACCCCAGAGGTGGGCGCCAGACTCTTCGGCCAGCTGCGAGCCCAACAGGGGCAAAGACGGGAGAGTGGGCTTGCGAGGAACAAGACATAGTGTAAACATGGTTCATTTCTAAGTTTTCGAAAGTTCTTTGGTTTTTGGGGGGTCAAGATCCTTTCATTTCTGACTCTTCTATCCTGGGCCCTTTCCTGGTCATTAGGGGGCCAGGAACAATTAGAAGCGAGCAGAATTAGAAATGAGCAGGATTAGAAATGAACGACGTGTAAACATGTATCCTCGGAGGTCCGCACGGATGTCTTGGCTCGGCGCTGGGTCGGCGCCAGATTTCTTGGCGCGCAGGGCACCGCCAGGGGCCTGGGGGGTCGCGCTTCCCTGATATCCTGGAGCCGTTCTGTTGTCCACGCGGGGCGCCGTCGGTCATTCTCGGACCCTGGGGCCCCCACAGATCGCGGTCCATCTGGGGGATTTCCGCAGCCATGCGGGGCCGAGGGCTCACGTCGTGATGTCGAGGCTGCATTTAGTCGCTAGGTCGGCTCTCAGGGTTGCGTTCTTTCGCGCTGGTCTGCGCGCGCAAAGGGTGGAGGAGACCACGGAGGGGCACACGCATAATCTACATACATACGAATACAACATGTAGATAGGTGTGTAGTCACATACATGTATGCACCCATGTATGTATCGGAGGTTGGGGGGTGAGATCGAAGTGGAACGGAGAGCCCCCCACGGGAAATCGGTTTCGGTTTCGTGTTCGTGCGTGCCTTGCGTGCGGGCGAGGCGAAGCTGCGTGGGCGGGCGAGAGGAAAGTCTCCTGTGGCTGCAGCGCGGCCGGACCACACGATTCTCCCTCCGGCAAGCGGTGGCGCGCGGTGTCCCGCCGGTGTCCCGCCGGTGTCCCGCTTGTGGCCTTGCCCCGGCCGGACCAAATGATTCTTCCTCCGGCAAGCGGTGGCGCGCGGTGTCCCGCCAGTGTCCCGCCGGTGTCCCGGTGTCCTGCTGGTGCGAAAACGATAGTGAGACAAATTACGAAATAGATTGTCAGATAGATAGTGAGATCGATAGTGAGACCGATAGTGCGATCGATCTGTGATCGATAGTGAGATCGATCATGACATGAATAGTAATATCGATTCTGATCTCGAGTGATATCGATTGGGAGATCGTTAGTGGGATCGATAGCGAGATCCAGAGTGATATTGACAGTGAAATCGATCGAGTCAGATCGATAGTGAGATCGATCGAGTGAGATCGATCGTGGGATCGATGGTCCCATCGATCGTGAGACCGATATCGACATCGCTTGTGAGATCGATAGGGAGATCGATCGTGAGATCGATGATGAGATCGATCGGGAGACCGATAACGACATCTCTCGTGAGATCGGTAGAGAGATCGATAGTGAGATCGATTGAGTGGGATCGATCGTGAGATCGATAGTGAGATCGATTGTGCCGATCGACCATTTCCGCCGCCTCCGCGTCCATCGTCTGTGCGACACTCTGAGACATTCGCCGCCGGCCCGCTCCCGCCGCCTTTACGTTCCGATGCTCGACCGCGCAGTGCCGGAAAAGCAGCAAGCGCGCGCCATCCCCGAAAGGCTCCCAGAAGGCACCCAAGAGGCCCCCAAGAGCCCCCCAAGAGGCCTCCAAGACCCCCCAAGAGGTCCAAAAGACGCGCCCCAAAGGCCCTCCAAGCCCTTGCAACATGAATTACATAAATCATGATTTCGTTGGTTCCCGGGGGGGGGAGAATGATACCAAGGCGCCCAAGAGCGAAGGATGACGTAAACAACTCGACACCAAGGCTCCCAAGAGCGAGCGGCAAAACAGCAATCACCACTTTTGCCCGTTGCTGGCCCCCCTCCCCCCCCAACCTCCTTATCGCCCGCAGGGTGGTCGTGTACGTAGAATATACATGCCGATGTCTAACTGTTGATAGCTATATTTCTAGTTGTGGAACTGTAGGGCTCGAGTGACAGAGCGATATCTCTTTCTATATATATATATAAACAATACACGATTATATACATATACATATGTATATCTACATATATATGTATATATATAGAGAGAGAGAGAGAGAGAGAAAAAGAGAGAAACAGAGAGAGAGAGAGCGAGAAAGAGTGAGAGATAGAGAGAGAGAGAGAGAGAGACAGAGAGCGAGAGAGAGAGAGAGAGAACGAGAGAGAGAGAGAGAGAAAGAAATAAAGACAGACATACATAAAGAGAAAGAGGGGGTCCAGGATGATGCGTTTGTCCTTCGCTCGTAGTTATGTGCGGCGCTCGGCAAAGAGCAACCTGCATAAAAAGGGTAAAGCTTTCGGATGTCCTCGCGGATGTCGTGGATCGGCGCTGGACACCCCCTTGGCGGCATCTCTGGCGCGGCCCCTGACGCGGCTCCCGACGCGGCCCCTGGCGCAGCCCCTGGCGCGCTCCGCGCGCCAGGGGGGGAGAGCCTGGCGCCGACCTCCAGGAAACTCCGCTTGGGCCTCGGGAAGTTTATCTTTGACGCGGCGACTTCTGCTGGGCCTGTCTTTCACCACCACCACCACCGGAAGTTGGAGGGGGAGGGGCCCTCCTCCTCCTCCTCCTCCTCCTCCTCCTCCTCCTCCTCCTCCTCTTCGTCCTCCTCCTCGTCCTCCACCTCCTTCCCCCGCCAACTTATGATGGTGGTGGTGGAAAACAAGCTCATCAAATTCTGTAAGGGGTCCTAGTTGGTTGCAGCAAGTGATCCTGCGTTCGAGAGTGCGACAAAAAGTTTGTGCCCGCGTGCCGTGCCGTGCCTTGCCCAGACATCTGGCGACGAGTCTTACCAATCCGGAGCCCCGAACGTTCCTGACCCCACCCCCCGGGAAAATTTTTCATCCTGGATCCGTTCTGGCTTGTTTCGGGGTCCGAAAGCGGTTTTCAGACGACGAAGCTCAGGAAAAACTAAGATTGAACAAATCAGTCCTTCGGACGTCCGGGAGCGCCGACGACAAAGACGGCGACGCCGACGACGGCGCCTACAGGGACGACGCCGGCGACGCCGACGTCGACGTCGGCGCCAACGACAGGCACGAAAACGGCGACGCTGCTGACGACAACGATGACGACTAACGACGCCGACGCCAAAGACCACGCCGATGGCACGCCGACGACGAAGACAAAGACGAGCCGAAAATGAAGACTGCGAGGCCGACGTCGACGCCGACGGCGCCGACGACGCCGCCGACGAGCACGGCCCACGCCGACGCCGACGACGCCGACGCCGACGACCAGCGGCCGCCCCCGCAGGGCGAGCGCCCGCCCCTGCGCCTCCCCGTGCTCGCCGCCGCCCGCGCGGCCTGGCGCGCGGGCGCCGCCGCGCCTCCGGCGGCCGTGCTGTCCCCCGCGGACCTGTGGCCCGGCCGGCGGCGCAGCGAGCGCGCCGGAGCGTCCGATGGTCGCGGTTCTCGGCGCCGCGAGCTCTGAAACTGGCTGACCCTGGAGGCTCTAGGGGGCCCTTCTAGAGCTCCGGAGGGCCCTGATGGTCGCGGCGCAGCGAGCGTCGGGCGGCGACGCGCATCGCCCTGATCTTCTCAGAGATCCAACGTTGAAGCAGTGGCGAAGCGTCCTGGCCCGCCTCATATAGGCCGACCAGAGGATGGTGTAAGAACCTTTTGTGGCTTCAAGGAGATGTTCTCAGAACATTTCTGGCTGGGACGGTCTTGTTTTAGCGCATCAGGTGTATGTTTTTGTTCTTAGAACATTTTTGGGTTCTAAAAACATTTCGTGGTAGGCCTACAGGAATGCCAGGACGGTCGGTCCTGCTCAAAACGTATGGAAAACTCTAGACGGACGTTTTCCGCAGTATTCGGCCTCGGGGGGACCTCGCGGGGCCCCGGTGCTGTCCAAAAACGACTCTGGAGGGAGAACCGGTCCTGGGGCATGGGTCGAGATGT